TCACCGAACGACTGAACGTATTGCTCGTCTAATGTATTGTAATTAATGTAATATTTTGATTAAGTGTATACGGTATGAAAGTACCAATTAATTATTAACGACAATTGAGAATTTGCTTGTCATAAAAGACACAGGCAAAGGTGAAAAAACAACCACTAGATACAAATTATCCTATCACATCTACGCTCGATTCCATTATGCCAGATGAAGTAGTACTTCCATTTGCATTAAAGATTACGTAGTGTCAGTTTATTATAATTTTATTTGAGTAAAAAAACCTTTTTCTGCTCAAAAAGGTTTTTTTGCTTTCTCCTTATCTTTTTAGTTGATTAAATGTTATTTATTCGTTTTATCTAGTGTAGGATAGACTAACAAAACATCTTGAATCAAAAAAGCAAAGTCAATTCTAATTTAATTAAATATTTAATTAAATATTTAATTAAATATTAATTTACTTGTATAAAATAAAGAAAATTGTAACAAAACATTTTTAAACTATATGTATTTATTATAAAGCTTTTTGATTTTAAATACTCTTACGTATATACAAATTTATTTCTTTTTAATTCTATTTTTAACAATATACAATACATATATTGATTGCTCTAGTCTGTTTTGTGCAATAAATATTGTTATTCCTATATTCTGTTTCTTATTTATATAAGTGCAAGCTTAGTTTTTTGTTTTCCTTAATATTATAAAAACATTCAGTTATTACTCCATAAATAGTTTCATCGTAATTAAAAATTACATTAGAAAACAGAGATCTTTAAAACTTATGTTTATAATATGTGTACACGTTCGTTGCTTTATGCTGATGGAAGATTGACGAATAACAAGTGACGAAATCACGCTCGTCGTTAAACCTTTGTATTTGTGTGCGTCAGCATTTTCTTTACAAATATTAACAAAAGATTAAAAATACACAGTTATAAATTTGTAGCCGTTTACATAAAATAGCTCGTTATTTTGTAGTAAGTGTTTATCTCATAATAGGCAATGTTACCCTATATAATTTCACTACCTTCAATATGTAAACTATAACAGAAATTATTTATTTTATAATTTCCCTACTTAACAGATATCTGATAATTAAGTTTGATAGCATTACTTTTTGTATAAAAATTTACAAAATTGATATTTTTTCTTAAAACTAAAAAATGTGACTATTATATACTGTATCCAATATTACATTATATTCTGCGTGTAATTTGTTTTTTAAAAAAATTTTATAACTCCTTTCGCCATTACTAAATAATCCCAACTAACTTGTGTGTGTGTATGTGTGTGTGTGTTGATGACTGGATTAAAAAACAGAACGTTCTAAAATTTATCTTTATAATAAATGTAGTTACTTGTCGTTTTATGCTAATGGAAGCTTGATTGATACCAATCAACATAATTTCGTTTGCTGTTGAATTTCTCCTGATTTCGTAATTTTTTTGTCTGTATCTTTTTATCGGGCATTGACAGGAATATTTCCGACGCCGGCGGCAAACGTTTGAAGAATTGTTCTTGTTTTTTGTGAGATTGTCGTTTGAAAAATTCTCGGATCAAAATATAAATCAATTCTATCACACTTATCACGGAACCGCCAAGACAGAGACCGAAAATACCGCCAAAGGAAGCTAAAACAATAGGACTTCATTAAAAAATTTCAATCAAAATTTTAATCAAATCAAATCGATCAAAGTCTTTACCAAGAAGTACGTCCCAACTAATAGTGCTCTCTTTAATGTAGTGGATGTAAAACATATCGTCAAAATATACTTGCACAAAGGATATAGTTTGCACATCAAGATTGTCCCTGTAATCAATTAATTGTCGATAAGTTCCTTATCGAGTGCAAAAATTTAAAATCCGTCGAACCGGAGAAACAAATAGACTCACATTAAATCGTTATCAAACCCTGTTACATTGTCAACTCTAACGTTGTCCGAAGTAATGCGAAATAAGAGATCGTTACATTCTGGCAAACACTTTTTACACAAAAATAAATTTTGGATAAATTCAAATTCTTTGTAGTCTTTCCAACGATTTAACAACACTTGTCGTGCGGTATGATTGACAGTCACAATACTGTAAGTTTCTAAATCAGATATAAATCCAATACATGTCAGTTATTCTTAAGAGTCATTAAATATATTGGCGTATTGTAAAATGTGATAAGCGATATTCAAATAAGTAGCCTAAAACTTACTTTCAAGACTCGAAAGACACTCTACATCGGGTAAGTAACAGGTTCTTGCTTCCTCTATCAACACGTAAGAATTGTACAAAAATCGTGAGTTAAAAACTTGTCTAAAAACATTTGCCAAAACTAAATGTCAGAAAAAAAACACATAATCTCGTAAGAACTTACGTATATCCGGATAATAAAACGGCAAGCAACCGCACATGTACACGATATAACGAGCTCTACATAGTGACAAGCATGATTCGTAGTTATAACGAATCTCATTCACTACCTGAAGACATATCCATAAATAAAAGACACGCATAGAAAATATGATTTTTGCGAACATTATTTATACATATTATTTCTTTCAAACCGGAATATACGCGACTTTAGTATGTATATTTAAAAATGGAGTCACATGAATGCGATTACCTTTGCTTGTCCTTCTTTACCCAGGTAACATAAACGCTTGTCAATGGGAACATCCCGCAATGTGTCCTTAGCAGTAATGGAAGTACAAGAAACAGACATATGCAAAGCATGACCGGGTAGCGCCATGAGCAAAGCACCGGCAGGAAAATCAATTGGATCGTGTACCACTACAGAAGCACCTACATAAGGTCGCGTGGTTCCTTTATACGTGTCACCCTCAATATTTAAGGCAAGCGAAAGTCCGCTATTCCGACCGATACCTGACGCGTTCTGCAACGCGAGCGAGATTTTTATTTCTATTGCACCGATATAGTTTCTTAAATTATATTTCAAAATGAAAACAAAATAACGACGTACTAAAATTGACGTCACACCCGGTAGATCATAGCGGAAGTCATTTCCGGAATCGGTAAAATCGATGGGCGTGTTGTCTATTGAACTGTTGAAAAATGATAAATGTCTTTGAACGTAGTACATATGTGCAATTATTTCTGTGCACAGCGACTATTTACAATAAGTTGTATTTTTGCTAGAATTACTTACTTATCTTCATAGCTTTGATTGTAGTGAAAATTAAACGCGCAACAAAACCCTTCATTGGATTTGACAATTTTAAAGATCTTGTTGCAATCGTAAATCTGTCCGATCCAAGCGCACCTCACCAGTAATGCGCTACAAGGCTGCATTAGCTGTACGCGAATAATAGATACATGTTATTGTAAATTCCGTATTACTGTAAGTTTCTAGAAGACCAATGTAAAACCTTAAAAAATAGTTTACTCATATTTAATACAAAGAATTACCCGCTTCATAAGCGTTTCGACACTCATATCAAGAGTATCGAGGATCCGCAACGCGGTTTCATTGCCGATTGCCACTTTACTGGTTCTTATCAACTTCGGCAGAGAGCGAAAAAACTTGTCGATCTGTTCTTCAGTGAATCCGTTTTTGTGTCTGTTAATTGCATAAAATTATGAAAACACAAAATATTGAAATTTTATAATTGTGTCTACAAATTCGCAAGTAGTTAATAGATAATTTTTTGTAAAAAGAGCCAATTGCGACAAGTGTCTTACAGCAATTTGGCAATAACTTCGGCATGTGGACGATAAACTTTGTTATTGTTACATATTGTAACACCAGGAAATGACACTTGCGTTATTCTGTTCGACGTGTCGATGCTCGTCGCTATAGGATGATGCAAATAATTATCCCATAGACGTAACATAAGTATACCGCAGAATATCATGGCTGATACGCAAATCTATGGAATGTAAAAGCAGAAATTTATATCTTTTTCTTATAAGTTTACATAAAATATTCGTATTAAACGAATATCAAAAATTCCAACTCACAACAAACCAAACGACAGCCTCGTATATCGTGGATCCGGCCATCGATATATGCCGAAAGCCGTGCAGATTCGTATTTGTACAAAAAATGTTAAGCCATTTGTTTATATATGTCTTTATAGCAGACATAGAACATTTATGATACCATGTATCTATAAAATAAATACATAAAAGTTGTCATTATTGAATAACAATGTAATTAGTGATGATTTTAAATATTATGTATTTCTCACCACGCCTCGAATTTGACGATTTGAATTTTTTAACTTTGTGCTTTTTCATGTTGCGAAAAGATATGGCAATGTCAACGGAAACAACACGTGCACGTGCTAGAAAATTCACCGAAAGACTGAGCGTAGTGCTCGTCTAACGTATTGTAATTAATGTAATTTTGATTAAGTGTATACGGCTATGAAAGTACCAATTAATTATTAACGACGATTGAGAATTTATCTTTCCATTGTTATACAAGATGTAGACAAAGGTGAAAAAAACAGCCACTAGTTACAAATTATCCTATCATATGTACGCTCGACTCCATTATGCCAGATAAAGTAGTACTTTCATTTGCATTAGAAATTGCGTAGTGTCAGGTCATTATAATTTAATTTGAGTGAGAGTTATGTTTTTTTTAATCTATTGTAAGAAAAACATCTTAAATTGAAAAGGCATATTGAATTCTAATTAGTATTGATTTATTTGTATAAAATAACGAAAAGTTCAACGAAATTTACTTAAAGTATTTATATTTAGTGTAAAGCATCCTGGATTTTAAATAATCTTATATGTATACAAGTTTATTTATTTTCAACTTTTAACAATACACAATACATATATTGAATGCTCTTGTCTGTTTTGTGCAATAAATATTGTTATTAATTTCTTTTCTTATTTACATAAGTGCAAGCTTGTTTGTTTGTTTTTTTTCAATATATTATAAAGAAATTCAGTTATTACTTTATAGATAGTTCTATCGTAACTACCGATTACATTAGAAAACAGAGGTTTTTTTAAAACTTGTGTTTATAATATGTGTAGTCGCTCGTTGCTTTATGCTGATACTATGTTCTCTCTTGTGCGCGTGTACTTGGTGTGTCATTTAGTAATTTTTTTTTGAAAAAATGAGACACGCTGATTTCCCTTCCATAGGAATCTTAGCAACAACACAACTATCGTCATTTTTAACATATCGCTCAATAGTACGCTTTGGGACATTGAATTGATTAAATGCTTTTGAATATTCCATTGTTTTGCCTTAACAACCTCTAATTGACCGTGAGACCACGATTGCCTCTTCTTTGTGTGTTTTCATCTAAAAATATGATTACTAAAAAATTACTACATCAAATAAAGAACTTGACAGTTCCTAATATACAATACTTTATATTAAGAGCGGCTGCGTGTCTCATAGTAGAAAATACCAAATTGTAGAAAATTTAAGTTTATATCGACAAAACATGCAATAAATTGACAAAACTACATAATGAATCACTTATAGCGCATGTGTACATTTACGTGAATTAAAGCGACAGTTAAACCTATGACATAAAAGTGTTAAATACATATTTAAAAGTTATAATGATTATTTTTTTCTCCGTGCGTACGCGACAACTCTCTGGCAGACACCACTCTACCTTCGGCAGTAAGCGAGACTACAAAAAATTTTGATATTTTTATATGTGATGTGTTAAACATACGCAGTTATGACTTCGTAGCCGTTTACATAAAATGTTCGCTATCTCGTATTAAGCGATCATCTCGAAATAAGCACTTTTATCCTACATAATTTCACTATCTTTAATATGTAAAATATAACTGAAATTATTTGCTTTATAATTTTTCTCTACATAAAAGACGTGTGATAAGCAACTTTGATAGCATTAAATAATTTTTTTGTGCACAAATATATAAGATTGATATTTTTTCTTAAAGCTAAAGAACGTGAACTATTATATAATGTATCGAATGTTACATAATCGTGGGCACATTTTGTATTTTTTAATAATCTCACAAAAATCCTCTCAAATTATTAAATAACTTCAACTAACTTGATGGCTAGATTAGAGAAAATAGAAGTTTTTAACATTTGTCTTCGTAACGTAAAGATGTGGTCGTTTGTTGTTCTGATGAAGGTTTTGATTGATCCCAAACGTCATAATTACATTCGATGTTAAATTTCTTCTGACTTTATAATTTTTTTGTTTATATGTTTGTATCGGAAACTGACAATATTTCCGACGCCGGCGGCAAACTTTTGGGAAATTGTTCTCGTTTTTTGCGGGATTGTCGTTTGAAACATTCTCGGATCAAAAGGTAAATCAATTCGATCACGCTAATCACAGAACCACCGAGACAAAGACCGAAAATACCGCCAAAGGAAGCTAAAACAATAGGACTTCATTAAAAATTCTCAGTTAATCAAATTAAATCGATTAAGATCCTTACCGAGCAATACGTCCCAACTAATGGTGCTCTCTTTAATGTAGTGGATGTAAAACATATCGTCGAAATATACGTGCACAAAAGATATATTTTGCGAATCAAGACCGTCCCTGTAATCAATTAATATAAAGACAACAAAGTAATAAAATAAAAACTAATAAGTTTCTCAAAAACAAAAGTTTAAAATGCGTTGTACAAAAAAAAAAAAAAACAAATAAACTCACGTTAACTCGCTCTCGAATCCTGTTCCATTTTCAAATTTATTATTTTCCGAAGTAGTGCGAAACAAAAGATCGGTACATTCTGGTAAACACTCGGAACATGATAACATACTGTTAAAGATTTCAAATTCCTCGGAAGTTTTCGAAAAATTGTTCATTATGTTTTGTACGGTATGATTGACATTCAGAATACTTGTAAACTCTATAAATCAAACATATATTACTTATTTCCTAAATCATATAAAAATGGCGCGAAAATTGATATTCAAATAAATTGCCTAAAACTTACTTTCAATCCACAAAAGACACCATATATCGGTTAAATAACACGAATTTGCTTCTTCTACCAACACATAAGAATTGTTATGTACAAAACTAGTGGATAAAAGACCTGTCTAAAACTATCTTTCAAAACTATATAAATGTCAGAATAACAACACATAATCTCGTATGAACTTACGTATCTCTGGGTAATAAAACGGTAAGCAATCACAAACAAACATGAGTTGGTTACCTCTACATATTGACAAGCATGATTCGTAGTTATACCGAATCTCATTTGATATCTGAAACCATATCTATACAAAGCGTCCAAAAAATGTGATACTAGCAAACATTATTTAAGTAAATTGTTTCTTTCAAACACTGTATATATTATTTTTTCATAGTAGTATAGTATATATGTGATTTTAGTATGAAGTGATTTAGAATATACATATAATTTTAATACGTATATCCAAACATTGAGAAACTTTTGTGATTACCTTTACGTATGCCTCTTCTTCTAGATAGCACGAACGCTTCTCGATGGGAATATCTCGCAATGTGTCTTTAGCGGTGATGGAAGTACAGGTAACAGATATTTGCAAAGTATGACCGGGTAGCGCCATGTGCGTGCCACCGGCAGGAAAATCAATTGGATCGTGTACAAGTACAGAAGCACCTACGTAAGGTCGCGTGGTCCCCTTGTACGTGTCACGCTCGACATTCAAGGCAACTGAAAGTCCACTATTCAGACCGCTACCTGATGCGTTCTGCAACCGCGCGCGATTTTTATTTCTGTTTTGCCAATATAGTTTTTCAAATTATTTTTCAAAACAAAAACAAAAAACAACGTACTAAAATCATCGTCACACCCGGTAGATCATAGAGACGGCCATCATCAGAATCAGTGAAATCGCCGTGCAAGTGATTTATTGAACTGACGAAAAAAAATAATGTCAATGACAATGTCTTTGAACGTGGAACATATGTGCGATTATGTCTGTGTACAGCAACTGTTTACTGTAAGTTAAAATTTTTAAGAATTACTTACTTATCTTTAAAGCTTTGATTGTAGTGCATATTAAACGCGCAACAAAACCCTTCAGTGGATTTGACCATTCTGAAGATCTTGTTGCAATCGTAAATCTGTCCGATCCAAGCGCACCTCACCAGTAATGCGCTACAAGGCTGCATTAGCTGTACGCGAATAATAGATACATGTTATTGTAAATTTCGTATTACTGTAAGTTACTAGAACACCAATATAAAATCTTAAAAAATATTTTACTCATATTTAATACAAAGAATTACCCGCTTCATAAGCGTTTCGACACTCATATCAAGAGTTTCGAGGATCTGCTCCGCAGTTTCATCGTCGATTAGCACATTACCGGATGTGATCAACTTTGGTAGAGAGCGGAAAAACTTGTCGATCTGTTCTTCAGTAAAGTTGTTCTCGTGTCTGATGATCGCATAAAATTATTACAAAAACATAAAGTATTGAAAATTTATAATTCTGTCTACAAACTCATCAGTAGTAAAAATAGTGTTTTTGGGAAAAAAACACTTAAAATGCAATATGTCTTACAGCAAATTGGCAAAAACTTCGGCATGTGGACGATAAATTTTATTATTGTTACATATTGTAACACCAGGAAATGACACTTGCGTTATCCTGTTTGACGTGTCGATGCTCGTCGCTATGGGATGATTCGAATAACTATTCCATACACGTAACATAAGTATACCGCAAAATATCATGGCCGATATGCAAAACTATCGAATGTAAAAGCAAAAATATAGCATTATAATCTTTTTTTATGAACAAATATAAAGTATTCAGATCGGACAAATATCGAAAATTCCAACAATCCAACATTTCAACTTACAACAAACCAAACGGCAGCCTCGTATATCGTGGATCCGGCCATTGATATGTACTGAAAGCCGTGCAGACTCGTATTTTCACAAAAAACGCTAAACCATCTGTTTATATATGTCTTTACATTAGATATCGAACATTTACGATACCACGTATCTATAAAATAAGTACACAAAATTTGACTTTTTTAAATAAAGAAGTAATTAGTAATGAGTTTTAATATTATGTCTCACCACTTATTGAATTTGATGATATGGATTTCGTAACTTTGTGCTTTTTCATGTTGCAGAATGATATGGCAATGTCGACGAAAAAAAGTGCACTGTAGAAAATTCACAATACGACTGAACGTATTATTCGTCTCGTATAGTGTAATTAATAAACTACTTTAATTAAGGTTGCACGCTATGAAAAAAACATATTTTTTAAATTATCTTGTCACATTTACGCTTAATTCCATTATGCTAAATGAAGTAATATTTTAATTTTCATTAGAGATGACGTGTCAAGTATTAATTGTATTTAAGTAAGTGTAATTTTTTTCTTAAAATCTATTGTAGAATAATCACATCCGTAAACCGAAAAAACATACTGAGAAATTATTTCTATTGATCTACTTGTATAAAATACAGAAAAATTTAACAAAGTATATTTCATCCTTATAGGCTATCATCCTATGAGAATTGCGTTTTAATGTTATTAAAAAATACCATTTGCACTAATTCTATGGATATTTATTAACAGGATTAATAGTGACAACATTATCATAAAACGGATTAATTCTCGCATGTGTTTTCCTATAACAAAACAAGTTAGCTTTGGATGATACTTCTCCCATGATACCTTAGGTATAAGATTTTCTAATTACAAAGAAACGTTTTTATTTCGTTTGTGAGTTTTGAAGGTGAAGTTTTGTTCCTAAAAGTTGTTTTATGAGGTAATTATAAGAAATTTCAGTTTTTCACAGAAGTATTCTTATTTATTATTTTTGTTGTCAGAAACAATTTTACATATGACGTCTTGTTTCAATAAAAGGATTTATAAAAATTATAATAACAGAAATTGATGAGAATTAAGTGATAATAAAAACAAATTATCTCTTAAACTTAGGATTTCCCTCTAATAAAATTGTTTTTTTAAAGAAACGATTAAAAATATAAAATTTGCTTTTTAAATTAAAGAAAACATTGTACAAATGATTGATGAAAATATTGTGGGCGCCATATCAAAATTATTCACATCTACACCAAGACAGAGCAGATGCTGGTTTTTGCTCAAGAAGAAAAAAGGGAATATAGAAGAATTAAATACACAATATGTGATAACTTTATTTATTAATTATGTAATGTGCAATAATCACGTAATGTGTTACAATTATTTGTAACCATTGCAAACAATTACTTCTTTACTTTCTATAATAAAAACATTTAATTGCATTTGTTTAACTTTATCGATTTCTAAAAGAAAAAAATATATATTATGAGGTGCAATATATTTCACCTATAATAGCATTAATTTCTCCATAATAGCATTAACGTAATTTTTTTATTGTGTATTTATTATGGTAGCCTTCAAGGATTAAAATATATATTTAATATAGTGTTTTCTGATTTGAAGGAGGTTTACATGTATATTAAGTTTATTTATCTTTTATTCTACTTGTAACAATATACATATCGATTGCTCACGCCTGTTTGGTGTAATAAATGTTATGTATTATAACAGCGCTTTTCTTATCTAGCAAACACATTATTCTATTCTATGCAAGCATATTTATTTATTTTTCTTAATATCATAAAGAAATTTATATTATTTCATAAGTAATTTCATCGCGACTAGCGATTAGATTAAAGAACAAAGTTTTTTTAGAACTTGTGTTTATAATACGTATAAGTATTCCTTGCTTTATGTTGATGGAAGGTTGACTGATACCAAGTGACAGAATCACGCTCGTCGTTAGATTTCTGACTTCGCGTCTGCATTTCTTTTACGGGTATCGACAGAAATATTTCCGACGCCGGTGGCAAACTTTTGGGAAATTTTTCTCGTTTTTTGAGGGATTGTCGTCTGAAGAATTTCCGGATCAAAAGATATATCAACTCTATCACGCTTATCACGGAGCCGCCGAGACACAGACCAAAGATACCGCCGAAGGACGCTAAAGCAATTAGCACACGCATTATAATATCAGTAAATAAAATAGAATTGATCAGAGATTTACCGGACGCGAGAATGTTTTTTCGTCTCTTACCGAGCAGCGCGTCCCAGCTGATAGTGCTGTCTTTATGATAATGAATGTAAAACATGTCGTCAAAAAATACTTGAATAATAGACATGTTTGATAAATTAAGACCGTGCCTGAAAGATCGTAAAAATCAATTAGCATATGTGTAAAAACTGTTGTATAAAATAATGAAAAAAATAATAAATTTGCTGGATCGAGAGCAGTAGCCTAAAGATTTGTCGTACTAGAACAAGCAAAGTGGACTTACAGCAAACTGTATTCGAAGTTTACACTTTTATCTAACTGAATACTTTCAGAACTAGTGCGAAACAAGAAATCGTTACATTCTGGCAAACATTTATCGCATTTTATTTCGTTTTCTCCGAAATCAAGATTAAGAAATGAAGGAGGTGGAGGAGCTTTAGAGAATCGAGCGACAAATATTTTTGAAGTACGCTTAATACTAAAGAGACTACGTAAATCTGTAAATCAAATTATATTAAATTGTTTTCAAATCAGACTTTATCGTATTTATTGGCTTGTGTAACTTACTTTCTAGTTTCAAAATGCACTCTACGTCGTCTAAGTAACAAGTTTTCGCTCCGTCTGTCAACACGTTCAGAATTTTTATGTACAGAAATTTCATTAAAAATATATAATGTACGCATTAAAAAATTGTCGAAAACAAAATCTTCTTAAAATAAAATTTCAAAGTAAATTGCATCTAAACGCATGTGTAATCAAATGTAATCAATTTCGTACGAACTCACGTATTTTCGGAAAGAAAAACGGCAAGCAATTGCATTTCCGTATTATATACTGGCCTATACATGACGTCAAGCACGATTCGTAGTTGTAACGAACCTCATTCAAAACCTGTGCAAGTATAATCGCATAAATAAAAGGCCCGAAACAAAGTTTGACATTTGCAAAGAGTAGTCATTTGTTTGCATAATTAATTATAAGTCGGTATAATGAGTTATTTTTAACACTATTGTTATATATAACATCTTGTAAATTATAATACTGTGTTACACGCAATTTAAAAATTTAACACGTGATCAAAATTAGAAAGCACCACCTCGACGTTTACCTTTGTGTTCATTTCGTCATTCAGATAGCACATACGCTTTTTAACGGGAAGACTCCACAAACTCTCCGCGCCGTGGATAGCGGTACAGAAAACGGATACTACCAAGAGATGATTCGGTAAGGCAACATGCGTGCTTACGGTAGGATAATCAATCGGATCGTGTACCATTACAGTAGCACCCACGAAAGGTCGCGTGGTCGCCTTGTACGTATCGCGCTCGACATTCACGGCAACCGTAAGACCGACATCCCGACCGCTACCCGGTACACTCTGCAACCGCGCGGGGGATATTATTTATTTATATCTGTTTTTTATTTGTTGACACAATCACAAATTATTTCTCTAGAAAATAACAACGTACCACAATGGTCGCCACACCCGGAAGATACCGGGATCGAACATCGTCGGAATCGATGAAATCGTTGTGCGTGTCATACAGTCTGTCGAAAAATAATTTAAATTTTACGATCTTGAATGTAGAAAGTGCGCGTTTGTGCGTAGCAACTACGTAAGAAATAATATTTTTTTAGAAATTACTTGTCGAAATCGAAGCTGAAATTGTAATGAAAATTAAACGCGCAGCAGAAACCCTCTTTGGATTTGATCATTTTGAAGATCTTGTTGCAATCGTAAAGTCGTCCGACCCAACCGCATCTCACTAGTAACGCGCTACAAGGCTGCATTAACTGTACGAGCAAAATATTATTATATTATTATACATTTTTTTTATAGAAGCTATCAATCTCTTTTATAAAAACTATCGATTTCTTTTTGTCGTCAGATGAAATAAAATTACTTTGTGATAGAATTTCGATAGGAAAGAGAGAGCTCTCTTGAAATAATGTTTGATGTATATAGGAACTCTATTGTTAGAAGCATTATGGAATTACAATTTGATATAAAGAATTACCTTTTCCATAAGCGTGTCCACACTCATATTAAGAGTATTGAGAATCCGCAACGCGGTTACATTGTCGAGTGAAATTTTATCGGATATTATTAACTTTGGAAGAGAATAGAAAAACTTTTCGCTCTCTTCCTCAGTGAATCCGTTCTCGTGTCTGTTAATCGCATGCAATTGTTTCGAAAATATAAAATAATGAAAATTTCTAATTTTTTTTTATCTACACATTATCGAGCAACAATTCTATCTACACACATTCAGCACAGTAATTAAAATAATTTTCTACAAAAGACAATTAAAATGCATGATCTTACAGCAATTTGGCAATAATTTCGGCTTGTGGTCGATAGATTTTATTATTGTTACATATGAGGACGGATGGAAAAAACAAGTCCGTTACCGGATCCGACGTGGAGATGCTCGTCGTTATGGGATGATTCGAGTAATTGTTCCATATACGTCCCATAAGTATAACGCAGAATATGATAGAAGATATGCAAATCTATTTAATGTAAGTGCAAGTTATAGTATTGTAGTTGTGTTTTGCTGTATAAAGTATTTAGATCGTTTTTTATAATTAAAAATGTGATAGAAAATCGCTTACCACAAGCCAAAAAACAGCCTCGAATATCGTCGATCCGACCATTGATATATATCGAAACCCGTGCAAACTCGTATTGTCAAAAACGCTAAACCACCTATTTACTATACCATCTATGTATTTTTTCACAGTGTTCGTCAATTTATGACGTCCTGTATCTATAAAATAAATACAAATTTTACTTAACTCAACGTTGAATAAAAAAAAAAGCTAATAATGATCGTAAATATTTGTATCTCACTGGATTTCAAATTGGCCGATTTGAATGTTTTAACTCTGCGCGTTTTCATGTTTCGAAAAATTTCGAATTTACACGGCGAAGTTGACGGAAAATAAACTTGCGCGTTCCAGAAAATTCTCCGAATGACTGAACGTATTGTCCGTGTAATAAATTGTAATTAATGTAATGTTTCGATTATTTTTGCACGATAAGAAGTGACAAATTAATCATTCGCGACGATCGAACACTTATCTTACCATCGTACAATAGAAATTATAGAGCAGAAGCAAGATCCACTATAATTGCAAATAGTCTATTACATGTACTTTGTTTCAGTAATACTACACAAAGTTGCACTTTCATGTTTCGAGGTATATTATTATTTATGATTATTATTTTATGTAAGTAATTATCGTATATTACGAATAAATAATTATAGTATGTTATAGTGTATGATTATTAATAGTAAGACTATTATAACCTAGTGTAGCCTAGTGTAGCTATTACGATTATAAATTTTCTTGAATCGATTTCGATCGATAATTTCGCTTCTTTGTTGTTGGCGTATATTGTAAGAACAAAAAACAATTTTAATTGAAATAAATGTCAAAAAATTACATAGTAGCAACCTTTGTGTATTACTTTTTTTCACATTTTGTTTAATTGAAATTAAAAAATATAAAATTGTAACAAAACTGAACAAAATCATCAAAACCATCTTCCGGATAAATTTTGTCTCGCGCGTTTTACAGACAAGCGTCTATAAAAATTAATGCAATATATATATATATATATTATAATCCCACACAGAACAAAACTTCCATTAGACATCTATTAGATATCGAGATATGGAGAGTTGTTGACGTCTAATGGATATCTAATGGAGTTTTGTTTTGCGTGAAATCTGATAAATTAATAGACATACGAAAGAGCACTTTTCTGCAAAGAAAATGTGTATAATTTATTAAAAAAAAAACTTGTAGCAAGGGTCCTAGCTTCAATATGGTTGGAATCATGAAAGGAAAAAACTTGATTGAGTAAAGGAACAACTTGGTCGGGCCAAAAAAAGTCATCCTCTCCTTTGTACTAACTTTTATTTGACAAATAAAAAGTATTCGTTACAAATAATTGTAAACTGTTGTTTATCTTATACATTTATACACATCGCGTGTGATACGAAGTGTATAGTGCTCTCTCTCTCTCTCTCTCTCTCTCTCTTTCTTTCTCTCTCGCTCGTTCTCTCTGTTTCTCCCATTTCATGTTGCTCTCATCTCTCTCGCGATTTTGAAAGTCTGTGACTGTAATCAACTGGCTTACATAATATTTCTGTTATTATATGCACGCAAATCCTGGCAGATGTTCACGTGCACACACATACATGCGCATTCTTTCACGCATTGCCATTCACACATACACACGTGCACGCGCGCGCGCGTGCTTATGTGCCTCGTCGTAATAAAACGGATTAGAGTTATTAACAAGTGTGTCAGACGAAAAAATGCACATCTCTGCAATATTTTTGATTTAGTTTTATTTTGTGTTGTCGCACGACTGTTCGAACAGGAGGAAACCGCAACGGGAGCCAAGCCGATTCCGCGGATCTGTTCACGGAATGGACAAAAAAAAAGAAGAAAGAAATATAAAAAAATATGCTGTACTGTGCGAAAACAACACTTTTCCCGTGTGTTTTGGACACAGTTTTTTGTGAAAAAGTTTGTTATAAACTCGACTAAAAACATTACAGAAATCAGGAAATTGTCGTCGCACGATCGCACTCGTCCGTGAACAGCCCGGTCGAAATCTTAGTTTAGGACATTGCGGGAGATCTTTGAAATCTGTAAAGCTCACATCGCACGTGCGCACTTTACACAATACAGAGATTTTGACGTGTATCAATGAAAAATTTCACCTAATCAATTCGCTTTAGTTTGTACCGTGTGCTGCTTCACCGAACGACTTTTATCTCTGTATTGTGAGTGACACGCAATGATCCTAGCTCATGCGTTTCAAGACTCACCGCCAGTAATGAAAATCCATAATATATGATGCGATGTCGCGATGACGTGACTATAAAGTTTCACACACGTACACATTACATACATACACACACACAATACTGGCGGTGAATTTTCAAATACAGTCCTGAGTGCGACATCGTGTCACACGTCTACTAAACTAACACGCATCTCTGGACACCGCCGTGATCATGACGCTTAAAAAAATGCCCGTTTTTAGGCACCCTATTGGGGTGTGAACCGACGGCTAAAGTGACCAGACTTTAAAACATGTCCAGGAATTGGAGGAGAGAGAGGAAAGGGCATTTACAAATTTTTATTTCGGGGCTGACCATCGGTAGCGGGGGACAAAAAAATCTGAGAAACGGCTACATCAAGCGCAGTTTTTTTTCCTTACACTTTTTTTGTTATAGCAAAACTTCGTCGAAGGTTGTACTTGTAACGTAGTCCGGCGCATACAATCATGACAGTTCAATCCTCGTAACGAGTGCGCTTTCAAGAATTGTAAATTCGTCTAGTGTGTGTAGGTTTTGTTTTTTTTTTTTAGTGTAGCCCGCACTTGCTCGAGAATTAAATGAACTTTTCGGGGCGGTTTTTCGATTATTATACGATCGCTCGAATGGCTGTATCCTACGTTAAGTAGTGTTTTCTTTTTTTTTCTCTCTTCAGTACAACTGTTTTTAATTGCACTTGTAAGTGACCAGCACGGTAGTGAAAAAATACAACCGTTCAAGGAGAAGAGCAATCATACGGCAAAATAGCGCTATATGATTGAGGTATATTATATTTACAGATCATGTTGTATGCCGGTCATGCTAGGACCTGGTCCTAACTTTTTTTTAGGGCTGTGATTTTTTTTTATTTTTAGTTTTTTTTTTTTTTTTTTTTTTTTTTTTTTTTTGTTGTAAACGAAAAACACAGAATATACAAAGAAACACATTTTAAAAACGTGTGATAAAACTTCGCAGCAATACGTATCAGCGGCAACAGCGTCGCGATTTCAACGTCGATTTTTATTCGTCGATTTGTCGAAAAATTCACATT